ATATAACAAGTTTTAATCAATTGAGAAATATGGGAACCGTTACACATTTTTTCGATCCTAAAAATGGTACAGCTTTTAGAAAGATTCTTGGCGAGAGACAAAACAAGCCACTTTTATTAAGATCTAATCAATCAAAAAATTTTGGAACTGTTGCACGTTATTTCGATCCTAAAAATGATATAGCCTTCAAAAAGGTTTTTGGTGAGGAACAAACCAAGCCAATTTTATTAAATTTTTTAAACTCGGTATTAAGACGAAAGGGTGATGATATTATTGAAAATATTGAATTAGTGCCTGCAGAGTTAGTGCCTCAATCTGAAGATGGTAAAAAATCTATTTTAGATGTTTATTGCCGTGATAAAAAAGGACACAAATATATCGTTAAAATGCAAAACAAAAGACTCAATGGATTCATTCGAAGAATAGAATATTATGCCTCATGTGCTTATTCCAACCAATTTTTTAAAGGTACAATGTATTTGGAACTTAAACCAGTAATTATTCTTGCTATCATGAATCATAAACTTTTGCCTAGTAATGTTCATACATTAGTTGTCATTGCAATCGTGTAGAAAAAACAAATCAATGTTTTTTACCAAATATTTCTTATGTATTCATTGAACTTCCAAAATTCGATAAGTGCAAAAAACAACTCGAAACTGCGGAGGACTACTGGTTACATTTTTTAAAGGAAGCCTCTAATGAATTGGAACCTCCAAAAGAAACGCCTAATGAGATTCAGAAAGCTTATAAGATTCTTGAAAGATATCGTTGGAGCGCAGTGGAAAATTTTGCTTATGAAAAGCTCATGATGAACATTTTAGACGAAGAAGATGCAGCCAGTTCTGCTAAAAAGGAAGGTTTTGAGGAAGGTTTTGAGAAAGGTTTGGAGGAAGTTAGCAAAAAAGTTGCACTTAAGCTTTTGAAAAAGAGGTCATCTCTTCAAGAAATTTCAGATATTACAGGTTTATCAGCTTCGAAAATTCAAGAGTTAAAAATCAATAATATTTTTCAACCACTTAACTTTGAGTAGATATTTTAACGGAAACTAATGGAGGATTTATTTGCATACAAATTATTAGTTAAATTCTTATTTGTATTCACATCATAGACAACAATTTTCACAAACTTTATTATATAGTTTTTGCTTTGGCGGTGCTTTACTTAGTTAATAAATCCTCGATGAATTAATTGCTTTTGCTATATATAGTCGAATCGCGATACGTATTCATGTGATATCTCTGTTTTTTTTTTAAAAAAAAAAAAAGCTATATATTTGTTAAAAAAGTTAAAAATATTCAAATAGGATCAACGTATTGAAAATTTTTAGGCAAAAAATGTTGCATTATTAAGATGCATGAACGTACTGGCCCACACCAAAACTCCAATTTGTTTAGTTCGAAATAATAAATGAGGCTGATTTCTTAGAAATTTTGAAGCTAAAATAGATATTCCACTATTCCACGTAAAAAGAGTGTTTTTAGCCTTTATTGATATAGTGATCTTAGAAGTAAAATCTTATTGGCGATATTATCTTACGCTAGTACCTCTCATAAAAATTGTTATCGAAATTCGGGGTAGCTATACCAATGCGATTTTGAAGTTTTATATTGTATAGTCGCGAAATAACAACGCCCATGAGCGTTATTTAAAGTAGCTTTAATTCTGTAAAAAAATTTAAATACACCCTGCGTATTATTTCGCGACTATATGGTAATTAAAATTAAGTCAGTTTGACATTAGAGTAAGGGTAGGTATATAGGCAAAGTTGCCTCTTCGACATTTTTAATTAATGCTCCAAGACATGTTTAAACTGCCTTTTTTCTTATTTTGTATTTTTTTTTTGACTTCTTCGAGCCAGTCCTTGCCTCGATTATACAGTATCTAGTTCTATCTTATTCTCATCACCAACTCTATACCACATATAATTGTTATGGAAAGAATTCATATTTCATCAGAATTGATTCATTCCGAGGAATAAATGCTATCAAGGGACAGGATATAATTGCTGAGTCATTATCTGTAAGTACATACATAAATTACTGTTGTGTTAATTCATATCTCTAAATCATTTATATTATATTAATATAACTTAAAATACTTTATTAACAAAAAACAAGTTTCTTTTTTCTAAAAATTAAAATTAATTAATTTCGAATAAAAATCCAAACTAAAATTTTTGTGGCATTCATAATATTTATATAATGCTGTAGTAAAATCATTTTGAAGATGCGATAGAAAATTTACAAAAACTACATTAATGTAATGATATGATCAGTATTTATTTATATACTATATTATAGAATCAATTTATTTAATAAGAATTTATCTCGAACTTTTTATTACTAACTCTTACTAAAAAAATAAAGATTTCTTCATTTTTATTTGAAGGTCAAGTAGAATAAATCACATTATATACTTATATAAATAAAGTTATCTTTTTAATATTTTTTATTAGGCTGTTTTAACCCGTCCAAAAATCATGATACGTGTCACTTGAGAAACCCATCCAAATACAGAAGTAATATAAACATGCAGAACTATTTCCAAAATTCAGAACTAGAATTTTACTTAATAAAAGGTTATGGGCTTCAGTAAAATTTTGGTAATTTAATAACTCTGCCCAGCCGATCAGGACTCTGATCCAGAAATTAGAAAGTTTCTTGCATGAGATTAATACAGCATAAAGGTTAAATGATTGTATTTACTACTCAAGTTCATAAATATCACTCATCCTATACAATTTATTAATTTTAATTTAGCCATGAATAGAATGATTTCATTAAGTTTCAAAGTTATATATTATAAAATTAATTCATAAATTTATGAAATTCTGTAGGAGAAAATTATGTTATGTAGTAATTCCGTTCGATAAACTAGATAATATTTAAAAAATGGGCAAAGGAATATTTGGTTCTGATTCATTATTGTTCATGAAAATATTTCAGAAGAAATTTACTAGCAATTAACAAATCGAACTTAACTGTCAGTAAAATGACATGAATACAGATTTTATTTAAAATGTAGTATTTAAAGTTCGTGAAAACTTTTTTATACCGATATCATTCAAATAATTTACTATGAACTTAATTCTGACAGCAAACTATGTGACTAACAACTTATGCGATCAAATTTTTTGGATGAATGATCTAGCAGCATAGTGATAATTTGGTAGCATTTAACTCAATATAAATTTATTATACCGAGGGTCAAACCCCAAGATTCTGGAGATTCAAGAAGAGTAACGTACAATATACTTTGTGACTAGATTTAGCTGTGATCTTAAGTCATGTAGATTGAATGCTATAGCATCTCTGGATCTCCTTTAGTATAAGTGGCCAATATAGAAATATAATAAGATTATAATATAAAAAAACTCTAACCCTAACCCTAGAGCTAACTATAAACTATACTATAATCTTACCCTAACCCTAACTAATCTCAAATTTGCTTAAATTAGCTCAAATACTATGTTTATATATTATAATTTTATAATATTTCTATAGTGGCCACCTCTACTAAAGATCAACCGCATCTCTTATTAGTATATTCGTTAGGACAGAATCAAATACTAATAATGTTTTGAACATTCTGAACGTTTAGATTTTGGATAACGGATTTCTGTATATGTGAGATCTTGAATTTCCAGGTTTTTATATCTAATAAATAAATTTATTATAGTTATACTGTAGCTATAATGCTGGCCTGTTATATTTACTAATACGTTATGATCAGCTTGCATACAATTAGGGATGTTAAGTGGTCCACGATGAACTAGTTCAGACCTGGACTTTTTAGAGACAGTTCAAGCTAGTTCTATAATCTCGTGATCTCAAAATTGTCCGATTTGCTAATTTACGTCGATCTGAATGTGATTACAATACTGGAACGAATTCAATGCAATTCACATAATTGTAATGCTCAATCATTATTATTCTATACTAATACGTTAAACCTGTAGGCTTAGACCGGTTTCAGACTGGGAATATGAACTAGTTCCTAACTAGTCAGGACCAACAGGGGGAACCGTTGATACGTCACAAAATCGTTACACAATTGATGAAAAATTTTTTTATATTATTTTACAATACTTTTTTGGAAGGCTCGCTTGACTTATCTTTTCTATGAATATTGAAAATGGTTAAACAAACATGAAGCTCTCACTTTGCTTTACAACATATTTTTTGAATCCCCTTGAATCCCATGGTTTCGCCTTTTTGTAAATTTCGCAATTTGATTGGTTGACTAATCTCGCAGTGATATTTTTGACTGGTCGATACAATGAGTGATTTGTGTAACGGGGAATGAAAATCCTATCTATATTTGGACGGTTTCTCCTGTTGTCAGGACCAGACTTTTTAAGGACTTAACCAGGACTGGACCGGACCGGACTTTTAACATCCCTACATACAATACAGTGGTCAACACGAATTCGAGTTTATTACTATTCGAATCATAATTTGAATTTTGGTACCCAAATCTGCTTTTGTAATTCGAATAATTCGAATGATATCAATCACGTGATTTGGGTACTCTTCCGAGCTTAATTCGAGTCCAGTATCGAATACCATACAAGATACGATTTGCCACAAGTTATAACCAGTAACAAAGTTATTATATGGGTTTTCTCATTAGCTCTGACTGTCACCCCAATTTTGTCACTGCAGATAGGTCAGTAAAAAACTGCCATATACAAAAAAAAAATCTTTATTAAGCTGCGAAGCCATCTTGCTAGTGATCAGGCCGATTAAATTTTTATGGCTCGCTAAGTCGTTAATGGCCTATCCGTTTAGCTAATAATTATGATTGAAAGCTACATCGATATAAATTTCACAGTTTATTTAACGTTAATATTTAAATTTTGTTAAATTTTGGGTTAACTAATATCTACGTAGCATACTAAATTTGTCAATTTAGAAAATTATACATCTAAAGAGTAAAATAATTGATAACGACGAAAATTATTTAAAGTTAAAATACCTCTTGATACATAATTACATATTTGATAAATTTGATATCAGTATTGATTAGCCGATTGATAAAAACTATCAACAAACTAAAGAGTTAAGCGGCTGGCTAAATGGCGCTTAGGGCATATGTTTAGCAATGAAATTTTCCGCTAAATTTTCAGTTTTTCAGTTACAAAAAAAAAAAAAGTTTTACATACTTTAGAAATATGTCCCCTTAATAATATTATCCATCTATTACAATGCGTAAACTATCGAGAAGAGTGTTGGAATACACGGCTCAAAAATCCAATAAATTGATTGTTCATATGTTGAAATTCTAATAAATTCTTAGTGCAAAAAATCTTGTGATTTGGGATCTTTGGACAAAAAAAAAAATTACAAATTCCACGCCATTACTTATGCTTGCGGTTTCATTTCCTGCTCCAAAAAAAGTCATAGTCCTAATATTCAAATTTAGCGAATCAAAAAATTAAATCCAATATTTAGTGAATTCGATTTATAACTTGAAATGCTCTTCATCCACTCTTATCAACATCGTTAAAAGATCCGTATTATGTGGTTTACCTTCCTCTTTCATTCTTCGTATAATAATCTGAGGACACAACCTCGATAATTTTAGTTGTTTCTTTTCGACAATTTAATTCAAAAGGCAATTTTATTATAATGGCCCTAAAAGTACACTTAATGTCACCCTAATTTGAATCGAGAAACTTGATATGCCCATTGATAATTCACCTTGAGACGTAAAAGTTAATTTTGTTACTAAAACCCTGAATCATAAAATGACATGTTGAAAAATAAGTTGCTTAGAAGTATCCTGACCACGACAAAAACGAGACGTTGGATTATGTGATTTTCGGTGCTCTGACCTAAAGTCTACAATAAAACTATATTATAAAATAACATGAAAATTACGAAAAAAAGTAAAAATTTTTTCAAGCCAATTACTCAAAATTTCTTATTGTTATGAAATTACTTTTTAAGCCCTAACAAATTAAAAAAATTCCTTTCAAAAAAATTTTAGTACGTATAAATTATGCTCTAATACGACATAATATACTAATCCAGACGATTTCATTTTCGATTAATTTTTTGGTATCAGATCGCACAGAAATTTCCGAGTCACGTAACCAGGTACCTTTTGTTCATGACTGGGATCCCATTGCATTGATAATGCATGTCATATAACAAAAGCAATTAACTATTTTAAACGGGCATTAGCATTTACAAACCAATCTGAACAGTTTTTGATAGATAAAATAAAATTTCTTTAATCAAGTAACGAAGTGTGTCACTTTACAAAAGTAGGCATCATTTCCTGTAATTATAAGAAATTTTATTTTAAATATTTATTACTTTAAGTAATAAAAGAAAATTGCAACTCGACAGTTTTCCTTGATATTTGAGCACGTCACCTTCATCAAAAAAAAAACTCTTTTTACCCAAAATTGACACAATAATATCATCAATTGACTTTGATTTTGGGTATTGAAATAATCACACATGTTGTAAAGTTTTTGATCTGTTATAAATATTCTTCCAGCCTATAATAGCATATAATTCTACTTTTATATTCCAGCGTCCATTTAAATTGGGATTCTCCTATCAGATCCAAAATACTGTATATCAATGAGAAATGAATTGCATGAATTGCATAATAAAGGAAACAATACAAAAGAAAAAAAAAGCATAACCTCATTTATTACTGTAGGATTTGAAGAAAATTCCCAAGCAAAAAATTCAGATAGAGGATCTGTTATTTACATAGTGATGACAAATATAAAGGGAAATGATCCATTTATATCAATGCGAAAATCACTATTGTTCTTGCTTAAAAAGAGAGAAAAAAAAAAAAAAGGTTAACAATTTAAAGCAGAAATATATGAATAAAAGAATCAGAACTGATGAAATTTCTTATGTTAATTAAGATACCTGAAACTGTTTTACATAAGAAACGAAATCGACAAACATCCAAATATAAATAACAAAATTTTGTAGAAAAAGTAGGTCTAGGTAGAGTGAAGTAAGCCAAATGGAGACTGCATTCCCAAATTTGGTGATCACTCTTTTTACATCTTTTATATACTATGATAAATTCGATTTAATATGTTCATATTCAATGCATAAATTTTTGGAACAAAGAAACAAAGAATTGTGTTTTTCATTCTATGGTCATTGGTGACTTAGTTTAGGACTCCAGCCTTGATCCAGAGTAAAATAATTATGGCAAATGTTTTATTATACGAATGTACTCACAATGTATGATTTAAATATAATAGATTTTGAATGTTAGTTTTACAAAGCACGCTTCGCTTTTTTTATACAGCATATGTTATATAACACAATACTATTTTTTATATGTACTAGATAATTTTGATAAACTGTATACAGTACGATTTAAACCGTATACAGTATATTTTTTTTATCGATTATCTCGCGGGCATGTGATTTACTGTATTGATTTTTATTTATATAATGTTGAATTTAAAAATTTTGAATTCTTTAAAAAAAATGGCGCGTTATAGGCCATCCAAACACACTAGATCAAATAATAAAGACCCTAAAGGAGACCTTATTAAATTTTTAGAAAAACATGTAAACTTTTTACAAAGAGAGAAAAGGTGGGTTGGGAAATTTTTTAGAGATAATGGAATTACAGGTGAAGAATTAGAAGCTAAACTGGTCGTATTACAGAAAATTATAGACGAAAGGAATCAATATACAAGAGTAATAGCACAATATCAAACTACACAAGACATCAGAGTATCAATAATTAGAAAACTTTTTATTGAAAGAGAGAAATTTAAAGATAAGGTTCGTCGGCTTCAGTTAGATAATGCAGAAATCAGAAGTCAGTTAGAAATCCTTCAACAAGATCTACGTTATGAGTCATATCTTAACAATAGGAGAATTGAAAGTTTAGAAAATCAAATTAATCTTTTAGAAAACCGGGAGGAAATTTTTTGCGGAGAATTAGAAGAAAGAGGTGAATAGATCCATTTCTATATTATTCAAAAATGCTATTTTATTTATTAATTTTATTCACGTAGGATACCGTACAACACCGAGATTAAGACGTGAGGATGCGTTTCTCGTCGAAAATGAAAATGAGATGCAAATTGATATGGAATAGTGAAAAAAAAAAAAGATGTATTAACTTTTTGCCTTGTTATATTCTTCACGTCAAATATAATAAAGTTTTCTCAGATTATTTTTTCATCATATGAAAACTAAATATTTATTTTAATGTTCAACGAACCGACCTATACCATGTATTTCTGTGCTCGTTGAAATCAGCCTATCTGTTAAAAATCATGTGGCGAACCGACCTATACCCTGTATTTCCGTGTTCGCCATCTTTTGATAGGCTGATGTTAAAGATTCTACGTAAAAGATGCAAAGTGAGTATATGAATAATAAAATTAAACATAACGATAGATGGCTGCCCTTTAATAATCGCGTTTAAGTTTCATGAACATGAATGAGATGATTTTTTTTTATTGCGTGTTTGTTCAACTTATTTATACATTTTGTGAACGTTTCAAATTTGGAAATATTAAAACGTAATTGTGAGTAAAGGTTCCTTATTTCAGTATTTGATGAAAAAAAACGCCATGAATAAATATAGGGTTGGACCGCGAGTGGAGTTGCAGTTGTTTCTTTGTAATCTAAAATATGTGATGATCAGAATCAACAACCAATCAAAACGGACTTCATCATTTTTTTAACTGTACTATCGCGTAAATGTATAAACTTCTCATGTTCAATGAATTTCCAAAGTTGTTTAGAAGAAACCGTCACAAAAACGCGTCAAGTACTCAAGGAAAGATTAACAGATCGTTCCGTTCCTGATGTACTTGTAGGCTTAGAGGAACAGTATACGTAAGTTGAATTCAAAACTAAGTTTAAATCTAAATTTATTATTAAACAACAAATAAATAATTCTAGAGAAGTATTAAATTATATGAATCGGACTGTATCTTTGGGTGAGAGCAATACTTGTATACTTATTGGGCCATCCGGCTGCGGGAAAACTGCGGTATTATGTTGTTCATTATTCATTATTTCATGCTTTTTTTTATTTTTACGTTCGCGTTTTTATATACATTACGCGTTAATTTCACAAATTTTTTCGATTAAAAAAGTTGTACAAAGTCTAAATGAAACGTACGATGATGATTTTTATTGTGTGAATATAAACGGATTATTACATACTTCCGATCAGTTTGTACGTTATCAAATTGGTTTACAACTCGGACAACATATTAAAGGATTTGTATGTATATTATTATTACTTTTTGTTTATAATTAAGTGACATGCATTTCTTTTAACGTTTTAACGTGATGATTTTTTGATCTCAGAGATCAGATGGAGACGTCTTCAATCTTTTGAAATCCGGATCTAGTAATACCAAACCTATATTTATAATAATCTATAATTTTGATGCATTCGCGAAAAATTGCAGTCAATTATTTGTGTATAATATATTTAATATTGCAACAAGCAAAAATTGTCCAATTTCAGTAATTGGAGTTACTCGAAAGGCGGTATGTACACATCAAATTAGCAAATTTTATCTTCATTCTTTCGGTTCATAATATACTTATATATTATTTATTAGAACGTGTTCAACGAACTTGCTCAAAATATCTTATCTCGAAATTCTTATTGTCACATCGATATAGATCGACCTTGCAATATTGAAAATTTTACTGAAATCATTAAAAATTGTTTAATGATTGATGAGACAATAGTTGATGACACTGAATATTGTCAGGAGTTTAATGAAAAAATAGAAGTAATTCAATAATAATTTTTTTTTATATTGGATAATTTATAATTCATTAAGTTTTAATTATTCATCATGCGCTTTGATTTTCTTAGGAATTATTTGATGATGAATCTTTCTATAATCTCATAAGTCAAACATTTAATTTTTCACCGGATTTTATTAGGAGTTTTTATAAAATATGTGTAAGTTTGATTTTTAATAAGTTTCATTGATTATTTTAAATCCCAAAATAATGTCTAAAATGATTTTTTCAATTTAAAATAAGTTTGACGCGGTCTGCAAATTGACCGTCGATTCTCCATTCCTTTCACCGGAAGACTTTTCAATATCAACTTTGCAAGACTGTGGAAGCATAGATATAGTTTTAAAAGGTATATGTTATGTGAAATAGAATATGAAATAACCTGAAAATAATCCTAATATTTTTTTAATACCATTAATTTTCTTTTTGATATCGTTCTTTTTGTTGAACTAATAGGACTTACGCAAAATCAATTATGGTTATTACTTGCAATCAATTCGTTAGACATGCGTCTCCAAACAAAAACTTTTAATTTTACAATGGTTTATGAAGAGTACAAGAATTATATGAAAAGCTATGCTAGAGAATCAGGTAGTACATATAGAATGAAGATATGTAAAGAGCATGTTGCACTCGCTGAATTTGAATTTTTGGAATCGCGTAAAATTTTACAATGTGTCGATGAAAGTAAATTTCAACAAAAGCAATATAGAATGATGAGATTACTGTTGTTGCCAGAACAAATTACAGATGCCATTAACGGTAATGAAAAATGTCCGGTAATGATGAAAGAATGGGTGGATCGAGTTTACGCATTATAAGTTTATTGGTATCTAATAAACTATTAACGAAAAAGAACAAAATTAGATGTTTAAAAAGAAATAAAGTAATTTTGGCATAGGAGCAGCGAAAATTATATGCTTTATACGGTCATGCTGTCAGATTTTAAAATCCCAATTGCTTTGCAATTGTTGTGCTTGAGATGTCTTTAGAACGCAAATTATCATTTGATATTTTACACCTTCAACGTTAGTAGTTTACATATACCTTAAGAAAATACCTTTTGCATTTACTTGTTGCATCTGTAAAATTATAACTTAATAACTATTGCCACGAAATTATCATTTTTAATTAATTCTAAAGACTTAATAACTCTGTGTTTATAACCGCATTCGTTTCTACATATCTTAAATTCTAGCCAGCCATGAAAAACTATCCAGCCAACTTTAAATCACGCAGTCCATATAATCATCACGAATGATTTAGGTGAAACAGATACGGGTTGACTATCGGCTAAGCTGATTTTGCACAGCATTCAAAATCACGAGTTAAATAAAAACAATTCTTGCAATGTTATTATCATACAGTAATATGCAACTAATTTATTAATTATTTAAAACAACAAGAATATCTCGAATATTTGCAAATTCAATAAATGTGGCAGATTAAAATGAAATCGGATTAAAATGAAATTTTTCTATTTTTTTAGGAAAATTTAAAATTTTTTGG